GTTCGCCATCACTGTCCTAGGCTGTTTTTTCCTAGGTTTATTAATGCTTAATGTAAAAAAGTGTAATATTGACATCTATTAATAATAATTAACAAGTTGCTTCCTTTGCTTTGGAACACCAGCTCCCTCATTCCGGGTGAGTGAACCAGTTTATTGCAGGGGTTCCCAACGTGGTGCCCTCGGGCACTGTTTCTAGCATCTGCCAGGTGTTTTCAGTAAGTGGGCGAGGCCAAGTAGAGCTTTTGCTGAGCAAGGGTTTGCACTGGCTTCCTGGGTATGAGCCTCATCTATACTGCAGACTTGTAGTGGTCTAACTGTCATAGCTTCCTCCAATGTCGATGATCCTAGGATTTATTAATGCTTCATTATTCATGCTTATTGTTTATTAATGCTTGATGCTAAAAAAGTGTAATATTCACATCTATTAATAATAATGAGTAGGTTGCTTCCTTTGCTTTGCAACACCAGCCCCACCTTTCCCGATGAGTGAGCCAGAGTTTAATCCAGGTGTTCCCAACGTGGTGCCTTTGGGCACTGTTTCTAGCATCCGCCAGGTGTTTTTAGCAAGTGGGTTGGGCCAGGTAAGGCTTTTGCTGAGTAAGGCTTTGCACTGGCATGTCGGGCGCAAGTCTCCAGACGGCATCTGTACTGCAGACTTTCGGTGGTCTAACTCTCATAGCTTCCTCCAACGTCGATGATCCTAGGTTGTTTTTCCAGGTTTATTAATGCTTAATGTAAAAAAAGTGTAATATTCGCATCTGTTAATAATAATGAGTAAGTTGCTCCCTTTGCTTTGGAACACCAGCCCCACCATGCCAGAGTTTAATCCAGGGGTTCCCAACGTGGTGCTGTTTCTAGCATCCGCCAGGTGTTTTTAGCAAGTGGGCAAAGCCAGGTAGGGCTTTCGCTGAGCAAGGCTATGTTTGCACTGGCTTCCCGGGCACGAGCCTCAACTACACTGCAGACTTGCGGTAGTCTAACTCTCATAGCTTCCTCCAGTGTCGATGATCCTACGTTGTTTTTCCAGGTTTATTAATGCTTAATGTAAAAAAGTGTAATATTTGCAGCTATTGATAATAATTAATCAGTTGCTTCCTTTGCTTTTCAACACCCGCTCCACCATTCCTTGCCGTGGTCTAACTGTCATAGCTTCCTCCAGTGTTGATGATCCTAGGTTGTTTTTCCACGTTTAGTAATGCTTAGTGTAAAAGAAGTTTAATATTCATATCTGTTAATAATAATGAGTTAAGTTGCTTCCTTTACTTTGGAACACCAGTTCTATCATTCCTGATGAGTGAGCAGATTTTAATCCAGGGGTTCCGAATGTGGTGCCCTCTGGCACTGTTTCTAGCATCCGCCAGGTGTTTTTAGTACGTGGGTTGGGCCAGGTAAAGTTTTTGCTGAGCAAGGCTTTGTCCCAGGCACGAGACTGCGTCTATACTGCAGACTTGCGGTGGTCTAACTCTCATAGCTTCCTCCAACGTCGATGATCCTACGTTGTTTTTCCAGGTTTACTAATGCTTACTGTAAAAAAAGTGTAATATTTACATCTATTAGTAATAATTGATAAGTTGCTTCCTTTGCTTTTCAACACCCGCTCCACCATTCCTTGCCGTAGTCTAACTGTCATAGCTTCCTCCAGTGTTGATGATCCTAGGTTGTTTTTCCACGTTTAGTGATGCTTAGTGTAAAAAAAAGTTTAATATTCATATCTGTTAATAATAATGAGTAAGTTGCTTCCTTTACTTTGGAACACCTGTTCCATCGTTCCCGATGAGTGAGCAGATTTTAATCCAGGGGTTCCCAACGTGGCGCCCTCTGGCACTGTTTCTAGCATCTGCCAGGTGTTTTAAGGAAATGGGGGGGAGGGGCAAGTAGGGCTTTTGCCGAGCAACGCTTTGCACTGGCTTCCTGGGTTCGAGCCTCATCTACACTGCAGACTTGCAGGGGTCTAACTGTCATAGCGTCCTCCGATGTCGATGATCCTAGGTTGTTTTTTACAGGTTTATTAATGCTTACTGTAAAAAAAAAAAGTTTAATATTCACATCTATTAATAATAATTAATAAGTTGCTTCCTTTGCTTTGGAATACCAGCGCCATCCTTCCCAAAGAGTGAGCCCGGGTTTAATCCAGGGATTCCCAACGTGGTGCCTTTGGGCACTGCTTCTAGCATCCGCCAGGTGTTTTTAAAAAGTGGGCGGGCCCAGGTAAGGCTTTTGCTGAGCAAGGCTTTGCACTGGCATGTCGGGCACAAGTCTCCAGACGGCATCTATACTGCACACTTGCGGTGGTCTAACTGTCATAGCTGCCTCCCAAAGAATTCTGGGATTTGTAGTTCTGCAAAATGAAGAATGCGCTCTGACAGAGACCTTGTAGTGCCCTCCATAAGCTACATATCTTCAGGGGTTCATTGAAGGAAGCCAAGGCAGTTAAACTTACTCAAAATCCATTCTGGTTTCCATTTACATCGGTTGCGTAGAGGAGGACAGGGGGCTGGCGTGGCAACCCCCTCTTGCTGGTCAATAGCATTTCACTTTCACACCCCTTTTTGGCTTCTGCCGCCATCCCCTAATGCTCTGCATCCCAATTCAATTTCCCATCTTTATCCCGTCAGCAGTTGTGGCGATATTGGTTTCTCTGTGTTTGTGTGTCGGTCTCTCGAAAATGAGAAAACTGGCCAGGAGAAAAGAGGCTTTCAAGGGCTGAGGTGATCTCCGATAACAAGAATTTAACCACAGCGGCCTGGATGTTTCCCCAACAGCTGTGGAGTACAGCTCCACAGGCAGCACAGAGATTTCATTTCTCCTTTTTAAAACGTCGCACGGCTCATCCTCCAGTCTAGAAGCCCTGAGCTGTCTTTTCAGACGTCAGGCGGACAAATATGCTTGCTAGAGTTGCCAACACCAGGTTGGGAAATTCCTGGAGATTTGGGGGCGGAGCCTGGGGAGGGCGGAGTTTGGGGAGGGGAGGGGAGGGACCCACCCTTCAAAGCAGCTGTTTTCTCCAGGGGAACTGATCTCCATTTTCTGGATCTACCGGGAGGTATACAGACCTCACCTGGAGGTTGGCAACCATAGCTTGCTTCTTAGGAAGGTGAAACGCTCCCCACTTGCTCCGAGACACTGTAGAAGGTTACATTTCCAGGTTAGTGTGCTGGCATTTTTCAAATGCATATCTGCAGCCCCAGAAGCTGGCATGAACACAGCAGGAGCCCCCTGGGGGAACGTGGCCTGTGCTGCTGGGCGGCTCCGCGGGGGGAAGGCTGGGGGGGGGGGGCAATGCTCCCTCTAAGCTGTGGAGTCCTGTGAGCAAAAATCCCACTTTCTGAGTTACCAGCATTAAAGTTGTGAGCAGGTGATTTGGCTGCTGCATAAATTAGTTTGCTCTGGAACCCTCCTTCCTGCGCTAAGACAAACATGTGTGAGCTAGAGGCTAAAAAACTGTGAGCCGGCTCACACTAACTCAGCTTAGAGGGAACACTGTGTCAGGGTGGTGGTGCCGTTTTGCCTTTCAGCCCCAGTTCTCCAAATGTCTCAGGATGCCTGCGCTTCAAAATGCGGGTGTTCTTTGATAAGGGGAAGAAATGGGGTTTTATTGTCCATATTTGGGTTCAGGAAGGAATTCCCCTCCCGCTCAGGGTTGTCTGTTGAGCTGGAGAGGGAGAAAAGCGGGTCGCCTTCCCTGGGAGCACGTGGCTGGGCTCACTGGCACGAGTCGCCTACAGGTCCGCCACACACTGCATGTCGGAGCACCCTACTTTATGGGTTGGTGGGGTGGATTCGGGTGGTTTGGCCAGCTCAGGTAGGTGCCTCGGGGCAGCAGGTGAACTCCTGGCTGGAGGGGGGGCATCTCTCGTGGAGCCTTGAGTCGATCTCGACAACCGCTGTGAGGGCAATGGGGGAGGCGAGGCCCTGTCACCTTTCCTCACGGGAGTGGGTTTGCACGGCCTTGGCTGTCAGGAGGGATCCGTCACCTCGGCTGGGCCTGTCACCTCCAATACTTCACCCTAGTTCCCAGCAGGCCCAGCTGGGGACACACACACACACCCCGCTCCTCTCACACGAGGCACAGGAGACCGGTGGCCTCAGTTTACCCCGCAGGCGTTGCAAGTGGGAGCAAAACATTCCAGGGTCTGTTTTCATCCACACACTCCTTGCTTGGCTGAAGCTGAACGGATGATTCAGAGCCTCGACGGCTGACTGAGCTTGCGGGTGTTTTTCAGTGTGTCTCTGGCACCTTTGTCGGAGTCAGGCCTCCGACTCCGATTTAACGCCTGGGGCTTCACTCCGACAGTTTGAGTGAGATGAACTTTAGACTTGCCAACCTCCAGGTCGGGCCTAGAGATCTCTTGGAATTAGGGCTCGTCTCCAGGCGACAGGGATCCCCATGGAGGAAATGGCTGCTTTGGAGAGGGGGCTGTGTGGGGTGATACCACTCCGCCCCAAACGACTTCCTCCCCAGGCTCCACCCGCAAAACCTCCAGGTGTTTCTCAACTGAGGGTTGGCAGCCCTAAGTGATGAAGAGCCTCACGACGATGCTTCTGAACATGTGCAGAGTACCTTTGGCTTCTGATCTCAGTTTGGTGTCGTGGTTAAGTGCGCGGACTCCAATCTGGGAGAACCGGGTTTGATTCCCCACTCCTCCTCCACAGGCAGCCAGATGGGTGACCTTGGGCCAGCCACAGTTCTCTCAGAGCTGTTCTCTCAAGAGCAGTTCTCTCAGAGCTCTCTCAGCCCCACCTACCTTACAGGGTGTCTGTTGTGGGGAGGGGAAGGGAAGGGAAAAGAGATTGTAAGCCGCTCTGAGACTCTGAGTGAAGGGAAGGGTATAAATCCAATCTCTTCCTCCTCCTCCTCTGCTCCTTCTCCTCCTTCTCCTTCTCCTCCTTCTGCACTATCACTGTCCCCTTCTTATACACTTGCCATTTAGAAGAACTTCCAGGTCAGACAATAGGACTTGTGTGGAAACTTGATTCCCTTATTTTAGAAAGGTGGCACCATGCTTATAGGTGAGCTGTCAGGTTGAGCTTTAATCAAGTGTCCACCACTGGAATCTTTTTTCATTGCAAAGACAGTAGGCTGGAAAGCACGATGCCCAGATAAATGAGAGCGACTCTGAGCATGTGAAGAGTGTCTACCAACCACAGCCAGGGTTGGTAGGGGCAGGAGTGGGATTTCCGATCCATGGGCAAGGGGTTACCTAGGTGAGGTCGTGGCAGCAAAAATAAACCATCGTCTTCTGGCACCTTAAAGATTAACAAAAAATTTTATTCCAGCTGGTGTTGCCGGTCCTCCGGTGGGGGCATAGGATCCTTCGCCCATGACTCCTGTTTTAAAAATGGCTGTTGGGCTGATGGCATGATGTCACTGCCGGGATTTCCCTGGAAGTGACATGACTGCCCCTACCAACCCTGTCTAGAAATCGCTGGAAACTACAGTTTTATCATAGAGTTTCCAGCAATTCCTAGAGAGGTGGGATGTCACATCCCGCCCCCCTCCTCAAGTGATGCCATCCCATTGCCAGTGTCGCACGGACTGGAAACTGGCCTGAACAATTTGGTGTCTGATTGTGAATATTGGGGACGATGTTCATTATTCTGCATTAGAAGCTAATCTTTGAGGGGACTTCACTTGACATGTTCGGCACTACTAAAGAGCTTTCCGAAAACTCATTGACCCTATAATAAGGAGCATTGAAAGCTCTACATTAAGAGGCTATACATTCACAAGCAAATAAGATAGCCGAACCCCAGGTGGGAACAATAACGAAAACAACCGTGATGTTATATTATCAAGATATATTTAGATTACTATTCTGTAGTGAATTGCATTTCTTCATCACATTGTAAAAATATACGCATACACACAACGGGAACTGCATATAATACCGTTTCACGTAACAGCTTTTCCTAAGTGTGCTGCGTGGATACCATTAATTTACACATCAACAATTCTAATCCGTGAATTAACACACAACGTTCTTCCCACTTCAATGAAACAAATTCTGAATCTGAGCACTGGAAGAATCCGTTTCAAGGGCTGAACCTTTTTATATTTGGGAAATGAATGGGTGGGGTGCTTGTGGCAACCAGAGGAGATCTTCCAATGCTTCCTGCTCTAACCTGACCCCTGTCCTTCACAGACAGTGTCCGGAAGTCCCTGAACCGACCTCTCATCCACCTCCTGGTGAAGGTGAAGCTAGAAACCAAACCCAAGAAAACTGAAGATCGGGTGCTGGTGAGAACCATCCTGGGGACTGGGAGGCGGGAGGAGAGGGGAGGGCATGGTGAGGGTGTGGGCGGGCGGCTGGGCCAGGTGATATCCCCCTCCCCGAATCACAGACTTCCGTCTCTCCGAAGATGGAAGGAAAGGCACCACCCTCCACCACCACCCTTGCTCACTTATTCCTCGACCTGATCTTCTACCTGTTTCAATGGGAGCTGGCGTGACCTTGGGTCAGTCACAAGTTCTCTCAGAGCTGTTCTCTCAAGGGCAGTCCTCGAAAGAGCTCTCGCAGCCCCACCTACCTCACAGGCAGTGTTCCCTCTAAGCTGAGTTCGTGTGAGCTAGCTCACAGTTTTTTAGCCTCCGGCTCACACATTTTCGTCTTCGTTCGGGAAGGACGGCTCCAGAGCAAACTAATATACGCAGTAGCCAAATCGCTCGCTCACAACTTTAGTGCCAGGAGCTCACAAGGTAGAATTTTTGCTCACAAGAATTCACAGCTTAGAGGGAGCATTGCTCACAGGGTGCCTGTGGTGGGGAGGGGAAGGGAAAGGAGATTGTAAGCTGCTCTTCAGGTAGTGAAGGGCGGGGTATAAATCCAATCTCTCCTCCTCAAACCTTGTCCTCCTCAGTCTTCACCCCCCAAATCGCCAGGAATTTCTCAACCTGGAGTTGGCAACCTTAGCTAGCGTCTCCCCCCCCCCCCCCCTATTCCTCTCCCTTTCTGCTGCTTTCAGATCCTGTTCTCTCAAATTAGGTCAGAGTTGGTAAAGTTGCTACTGGCAGCAAAATCTTGGGTCACAGGCGCGGGTGTGGGGCTCGGCAGAGGGAGGGGGGTCACGCCACCGGCACAAAAGCACCCTGTGTGTGTCTGTTGTCTCAGAGAAGGGGGGTATTGGCTGAAATGGGAGGTGGGCGAGAATAAGACGTCATGGCTGGCAGCAGAGAGGGAGCGTTTCTACAGAGATGGGGGAAAGGAAGGGGAAATGACCGCGCGGGGATATGTGTGTGGAGTGAAAGTAGCCAAGTGAGGTCATTTAGAGTAGGCAGACTGGGATGGAACAGGGTTCAGGCAGCCCAGGAATTCGAGAGGAAGCAGGCAGGTGGAGGGAGGGGGGAGATCTGATAGGAGCGATTGGTTGCCGCCGATTTATCGTGACCCGTCGTGCGGTCTTCAAGGCAAGAGATGGGCAGAGGCCGTTGCCTGCCTCGGTGTACCCACCCTGGACTTCCTCGGTGGTTTCCCATCCAAATACAAACTGGAACCAATCCTGCTTAAAAGGTAAAGGTTTCCCTTGCTCGAAAGCCAGTCGAGTCCGACTCTAGGGTTGCGGTGCTCATCTCCGTTTCCAAGCCGAAGAGCCAGCGCTGTCCGAAGACGTTTCTGTGGTCATGTGGCCGGCATGACTAAACACCAAGGCGCACAGAATGCTGTTCCTTTCCCACCGAAGTGGTACCTTTTTATCTACTTGCCATTTCTTGCTTTCGAACTGCTCGGTTGGCAGGAGCTGGAACTAGCTTAACTCAGCCTTAACTAGCCTGGGCCATCTAGGTCAGGGCCAATGTTCCCTCTAAGCTGCGGAGTCTTGTGAGCAAAAATGCTACTTTGTGAGCTACTGGCATTAAAGTTGTGAGCCAGGGATTTGGCTGCTGCATAAATCAGTTTGCTCTGGAGCCCTCCTTCCTGAGCGGAGACAAAAATGTGTGAGCCGGAGGCTAAAAAACTGTGAGCTAGCTCACACTAACTCAGCTTAGAGGGAACACTGGTCAGGGGGTGGGGTATCTTTAATGTAGGAATCTGTCTGAGAGCCAGTCTGGTGTCGTGGTTCAGTGCGCAGACTCTAATCTGGGAGAACCAGGTTTGATTCCCCCACTCCTCCATTTGCAGCTGCTGGATGACCTTGGGCAAGCCGTAGTTCTGACAAGAGCTGTCCTCGAAAAAGAGCAGTTTCTGTCAGAGCTCTCTCAGCCCCGCCTACCTCACAGGGTGTCTGTTGTGGAGAGGGTAAGGAAATTGTGAGCCGCTCTGAGACTCCCTTGGGTA